TTTCCCTGAAGACCTATCAACTTGGGACAAATACCTTTTCAGTAAAACCACTTCAGAGTGCTGTCCTTTTTGGCAGGACAAAACACCTTGTGACGATCTGTCTCCCATGCTCTCAGTGAGTAGGGATGTAGACTGAACAAGGGGAGTTGAGGGAGATATACCCAGCCCTGAAAAGAGAATTTAGTAGGATTTTCGGGCAGTCCTGGGCTTATATAGTGCAGTGCCCTGATCCTTCAAGCTGTGCCACATGGCCAGGCCTCGTGCAGGTCTCCACAGCAGCTCTGCAGGGTGGGGGCCAATCTGGATATAGAGATTGCAGCGAAGGAGCTAGATGACACATGGCTGTTTCTGAGCACAGAAAGGGGGAGGCAGTGGGAGAGATGGGAACCCATCTGCATTACCAGTAAGCATACTGTATGCTCCCACTGATCCTGCCACGCTGTGCTTTGCTGTTCTTTAGCCTGTGCCCTCAAAGGGGGCGGGATGGGCTCCAGCATGTTTCTTCCTGGTCTGTCTCCCTCACAGCCAGATGGGAGGGCAGAGAGGCTGCAGCCAACACTATTAGAAATGCCTGTGCTCTTCCAGCAACTCTCTAGACCCACCTTCTTCGCCCGCAAGTTTGAGTCGACGGTGAATCAGGAGGTGCTGGAGATCCTGGACACGCACCTCTATGGCAGCTACCCCCCCAACATGCCGGCCCTGAAGGCGTACTGGGAGAATGTCTACGACCGCGTCGACGGGCTCAGCAGCCTCAGCGACGTTACCCTCACCTTCTACACGGCCTTCTCCAGGCTGGGGCTCCACAAAGCCGCGACCGTGCTGGCAGTGAAGGCTGACAAGCTCTGCAGGTGGCGTATTTGCCGCGGGCTTGAGCCAGGCTCTGAATGGTGGCCTGCATCTCGTGCTGGGAGGATGCTGGTGCTCATATGTGCAACCTCTCCGTCTGTCTGTCTCTCTCCAGATTTGAGCCCCGGGGTTTCCCATCCAGTGTGCACTTATATTTCTATGACGACCGTTTCCAGGGTTACTTGGTGATGCAGGAAGTGCAGAATTCGGCAACTGGGCAGGCAGAGTCCCTGGAGGTGTGGATGATGCCCCAAGGAGCTCTGAAGCTGGTGGGTCACGGAGGGCAGGCAAACCGCTTACAAAACCTTGAGGTAAATGGGGAAACTTTCCCTCACAATGTCCACTTTCCTCCCCAGCTTTGCCACACCGTGCTGCCCTTCCTTCTCTCCCCTACCTGCACGCTGTGGGGACAGAGGGACACAGTGCCGCTGTCATGTCTGAGAACAAACCTTTGTCAGGAGTTTGGCTTCTGTTTGGGTTGTGGAGCTGATCGGTGGGGAAAAGGCCTGAAGGGGATCTTTCACGGGGGAGCTGAGGCTGTGATGCCCAGTGCCTGCAGCTGCAGGAGGCGTCACACAGCTGGATTAGTGCTGACATGGTGCAGGCAGGCAGGAGAGCTGTGGAAGGTGGGGTGTGCATTGCTTTGGGCTCCAAAGTTTATGCCTTCCCTGGCTTGGGGAGGTGAAACACAAAACCTGAGCTGATAGTGTCTCCCTGCCCAGCGTCCCACTGCTTGTGCCTCCTGTCCTTCAAGGTGGGCACGGAGTGGGATCCCAAGGAAAGGCT